GGATTTCGCATCTCAAAAAAAAAAAGAAGAAGAGTTTGAAACCAGCCTGACTAACCAACTGGCAAAAACCCATCTCTGCTAAAAAATACAAAAATTAGCTCGAACATGGGTAAGTACATGCCTGCTAATTCCCAGCCTACTCGGGAGGCTGAGACAGGAGGATAGCTTGAACCTGGGAGGCGGAGGTTGCAGGAGGCTGAGATGATGCCATTGCACTCCAGCCTGGGTGATAGGGCAAGACTTCCGTCTTCAAAAAAAAAAAAAAAATCAACTATTGGAAAAGACACAAGAAAAGAAGTCCAGGAGAAACCTGGTGCAAGCTTCCAGTGTCCTCTCCCAGCGAAAGTCATACAGATGCAACTTAATTCTCCAGCAATGACTTATGACAATGCATGTTGAAGTGTTGTCAGCCAGGAAGCTCACCTGAGCCTTGGTGTTCGGTATGTATTGGGCGATCATTCCATAGTACGCAGTGTCTACCATGGCTGACCTCAGTTGCTCAGAGCTGTAGGACCCCGGGCAAAACATGTGACTGGGCCAGGCACAGTGGCTCACACCTGTAATCCCAGAACTTTAGGAGGTTGAGGCAGCAGATCACGGAGTCAGGAGATCAAGGACCATCGCCGGGCCAACATGGTGAAACTCCATCTTTACTAAAAACACAAAAATTAGCCACGTGTGGGTGGTGCACACCTGGTAGCCCCAGCTTACTCCAGTGATCCGCCCGCCTCGGCCTCCCAAAGTGCTGGGATTATAGGCATGAGCCACTGCGCCCGGCCTCAAACTCTTGATCTCAGGTGATCTGCCCATCTTGGCCTCCCAAAGTGCTGGGATTAAAGGCATGAGCCACCATGCTTGGCCTTTTTTTCAGTTTTTTAAAAAATAGCACTTATTACCATTTAGTAGGGGCTCAGAAAGTATTTGCTGGAAGAATAAAACATTTACATCATACCTGGCTGGTGAAGGCCATCAGGACAGCGAAGCTGGACAGGTGACTGCAATTACACATGGTGTGACTCTTGTTCACGTGTATCAGGAAGCAGCCATCCCTGGACCACAGGCCTCCCTGCTTTGTGGTCTCCCAGTAGACACAGAAGGCCTTTTTGATACTGTGGTTTATCTGAAAATAGAAAGGGCTCATTGTCTTTGTCTTTTTTTTTTTTTTTGAGACGAAATCTCACTTTGTTGCCCAGGCTGGAGTGCAGTGGCTCAATCTCGGCTCACTGCAACCTCCGCCTCCTGGGTTCAAGCAATTCTCCTGCCTCAGCCTCCCGAGTAGCTGGGATTGCAGACGTGCACCACCACACCGGGCTAATTTTTGTATTTTTTGTAGAGACAGGGTCAACTATGTTGCCCAGGCTGGTCTTGAACTCCTGGATTCAAGCAATCTGCCTTCCTTTGCCTCCCAAAGTGCTGGGATCATACAGGCATAAGCCACCGCATGCAGCCAGCTCATTGTCTTTTTCCTCAGGAGGGACAGTTCTCAGTGTTGGCCTATGCCAGGGTGCCACCTGCTAAGGCATCTGCATGAAGCATGACTCTCGTGATTTCTGTTTTGTTTGTTCGTTTTTGAGTCAGGGTCTCATTCTGTCGCCCAGGCTGGAGTGCTGTGGTGCAACCACAGCTCACTGCCACCTTGACCTCCCTGGCTCAAATGATCCTCCCATCTCAGCCTCCACAGTAGCTGGAACTACAAGTGTGCACCACCATGCCCAGCTAACTCTTGTGTATTTAGTAGAGATGGGGTTTCAACATGTTGCCCAGGCTGGTCTTGAACTCCTGGCCTCAAGCAATCCTCCTGCCTTGGCCTCCCAAGATGCTGTGGTTACGGGCATGAACCACTGCACCTAATTTCTATTTTATGTGGCCACCAGGACTCCCGATCAATAACTGCAGCTCTTTTGGGATTTCATGTAACATAAAATAAAGCAAAGTCTCCCTGGAAATGACAGTTTCAAGAGATTTCATTGGTTTTAGAACCTTACCTCAATCATGGGAGTGGAAAAAAAAAAAAACCAGTGGAGTCTGAAGCTCACATAATGTTTTTCCCTAGTCTCTCTAAGCCAAATGTCCCTGGTTGTTGTATAATCAATTTTGTCTCTGACTCCCTTACATCACAGTAATTGCTCTTGCGATGAGAGGCATGGTATAGGAAAGAAATGTCATGAGGAGAGAGATTAAAATTAGCCTTTGAAGCTGGGTGCAGTGGCTCATGACTGTAATCCCAGCACTTTGGGAGGCCAAGGTGGGTGGGTCACCTAAAGTCAGGAGCTGGAGACCAGTCTGTCCAACATGGCCAGACCCCATCTCTACTAAAAATACAAAAATGAGCCAGGCGTGGTGGCACTCGCCTGTAATCCCAGCTACTTGGGAGGCTAAGGCAGGAGAATTGCTTGGGCCCGGGAGGTGGAGGTTGCAGTGAGCTGAGATCGCACCACTGCACTCCAGCCTGAGCGACAGATTCTGATTCCAAAAAAAAAAAAAAAAAAGAAAGAAAGAAAGAAAGAAAATAGAAAAAGAGGCCGGATGAGGTTCATACTTACAATTTCAGGGTTTTAAGAAGTTGCGGTGGGAGGATTGCTTGAGGCCAGGAGTTTGAGACCAGCCTGGACAACACTATGAGTTCCTCTCGCTACCAAAAATAAAAAAATTAGTGGGGCGTGGTGGCACACACCTGTAGTTCTAGCTGCCGGGGAGGCTGGGGAGGCTGAGGTGGGAGAGTCCCTTGAACCTAGGAGTTCGAGGCTGTAGTGAGCTATAACTGTGCAACTGCACTCCAGCCTGGGCAACAAAATGAGCCCCTTTCTCAAAAAAGGTAAAGATATAGGTCAAATTAACTTTAATAAGAAATTTTATTTAACCCACTTATTCAACATAGTATCTTTTAAATAGATCACTATAAATTAATATAATCAACATAGATATTATCAAGGAGATAGTTGACATTCTTTTCTTCTTTTCTTTCTTTCTTTCTTTTTTTTTTGAGATGGAGTCTGGCTCTGTCGCCAGGCTGGAGTGCAGTGGCGCGATCTCGGCTCAGTGCAACCTCTGCCTCCGGGGTTCAATCGATTCTCCTGCCTCAACCTCCCAAGTAGCTGGGACTACTGGCACGTGCCACCATGCCCGGCTAATTTTTGTATTTTTAGTAGAGATAGAGTTTCATCATGTTGGCCAGGATGGTCTCAATCGCTTGACCTCATGATCCACCCATCTCGGCCTCCCAAAGTGCTGGGATTACAGGCATGCCCTTTCTTCTTTTCTTTTTTTTGTTTTGATTTACTTCTTTTTAAAAATTTATTTTTAATTTATACATTATAATTGTATATATTTATGGGATACAGTGTGATGTTATAATTCTTGTATTTGCATACAATGTAGAATGATTAAATCTAATTTTTTTTTTTTGCATTTATTCTTATTGGTTCTCTGAACTTCCTGGATCTGTGGTTTGTTGTTTGACATTGGTTTGGGGAAATTCTCAGTCACTTCCCTCCCTCCCTCTTTTCCTTCCTTCCTTCCTTCCTTCCTTCCTTCCTTCCTTCCTTCCTTCCTTCCTTCCTTTCCTCTTTGTTTCTTTCTTTCTTTTCTTCTTCTCCTTCTTGTTTTTCTTCTTCTGATAGTGTCTTGCTCTGTGCTCCAGGCAGGAGTGCAGTGGTGCAGTCATAGCTCACTGCAGCCTCCAACTCCTGAGCTCAAGCGATCCTCTTGCCTCAGCCTCCCAAGTAGCTGGAATGATAGGAGCATGCCAGTCTGCCTGGTTTAAATCAAGCTAATTGTTTTCTTCTTATTAAGTCTTCAAAGGCTGATTTACAAGATGTAAATCTGGAAATACTGTCTTCAAAATCTCGATTCAGACCAGCCACATTTCAAATGCTCAATAGCGACAGGTCCTCCTGACTATGACCCTGAACAGGGCGGGTCTAGAACCACAGCCTGGGATGATACATACATTGTTTGGCCTGCTTCCTTGACACCTGAAAAGCTCAAATCACACCTGTGACCCACCTTCACGTGCTGGAAAGTCAGCGTCACAGACTTGGAGAGAGACACGTTCCTTTTGGGTCCAATGGCAGCACTCACTACCTGAGAGTTCAGAAACACTCGATCCTTCTCATCCGTCTCTTCAAAAAAAGTTGCATTTATGATGTTTCCAAGAGAAGAATATGAGATAAAGGCAACGGCACTGGGACCTGAGGAAACAGAAAAATGGAATCATTGTTCTTTTCTTTTCTGTTTCTTTCTTTTTTTTTTTTGAGATGGAGTCTTGCTTTTGTCGCCCAGCCAGGCTGGAGTGCAGTGGTGCGATCTCGGCTCACTGCAACCTCCGTCTCCCAGGTTTAAGTGATTCTCCTGCCTCAGCCTCCAAAGTAGCTGGGATTACAGGCACCACCACCATGCCTGGCTAATTTTTTGTCTTTTTAGTAGAGACGGGGTTTCACTATGTTGACCAGGCTGGTCTGGAACTCCTGACCTCAGGTGATCCACCTACCTTGGTCTCCCAAAGTGCTGGAATTACAGGCATGAGCCACCGCGCTCAGCTAATTTTTGCATTTTTAGGAGAGACAAGGTTTCACCATGTTTGCTAGGCTGGTCTTAAACTCCTGACCTCAGGTGATCTGCCCACCTTGGAAAGTGTTGAGATTACAGGCATAAGCCACCATGCCCAACTCAAAAACTGAATCTTTAAAAGCGTCTCCAAAGCCAGGCAAAGTGGCACTGCCAGTGACTTGGGAGGTTGTAATCCCAGTGACTTGTGAGGTTGAGACTGGAGGATCACTTGAGCCCAGGAGGTTGAGGCTGCAGTGAACCATGATTACACCACTGCACTCCAGCCTGGGTAACAGAGCAAGATCCTGTCTCAAAAAAAAAAAAAAAAAAAAAAAAAAAAAAAAAAAAAAAAAAGAATTGTATTCAGTGGCATTGAGTACATTCACAATGTTTTCATCACCTCTATGTCGTTCGAAAACATTCTCATAACCTCCAAAAGAGAGCCCATTCCCATAAGCAGTCCTCACTGAGCCCCTGGGAACCACCAACCTACTTTCTGTCTCTATGAGTTCACCTATTCTAGACATTTCATATAAATGGAATCATACACTGTGACCTTCTATATCTGCCGTGTTTCATTTAGCATCATGTCTTCAAAGTTCATCCATGTTGTAGCATGCGTCAGTGCTTCATTCCTTTTTCTGACCAAATAATATTCCATTATATGGATATACCACCTTCTATTTATCCAGTCTTTCACTGATGGACATTTGAGTCATTTTCATTTTTTGGCTATTTTGAATAATGTTGCTGTGAGGACATTGTGTTCTTACGTATATATATATTTTTTTGAGACAGAGTTTCCCTTTTTTTTGTCCAGGCTGGAGTGCAATGGTGTGATCTTAGCTCACTGCAACCTCCACCTCCAGGATTCAAGTAATTCTCAGCCTCCCGAGTAGCTGAGATTACAGGCACCCAGCACCACACCTGGTTAATTTTGTATTTTTTAGTAGAGACGGGGGTTTATCCATGTTGGTCAGGCTGGTCTCGAACTCCCAACCACAGGTGGTCTGCCTGCCTTGGCCTCCCAAAGTGCTAGGATTACAGGCGTGAGCCACCACACCCGGTCTACCATTTTTTAGAAGAGTCGTTCTCAGCTGGAGCTTAAATCCTGCGATCCCTGGAGGGTTCGTTATAACAGAGTGTTGGGGCCGGGCAAGGTGGCTCACACCTGTAACCCCAGCACTTTAGAAGACTGAGGGGGTGGATCAACTGAGATCAGGAGTTCGAGACCAGCCTGGTCAACATGGTGAAACCCCCGTCTCTACTAAAAATACAAAAATTAGCTGGAGGTTGTGGTGCATGCCTGTCATCCCAGCTACTTGGGAGGCTGAGGCTGGAGAATCTCTTGAACCTGGGAGGCGGAGGCTGCAGTGAGCTGCGATCACGCCACTGCACTCCAGCCTGGGCGACAGAGTGAGACTCCATCTCAAAGACAAAAACAAAAAAAAAAAAACAAAACAAAAAAAAGAATGTTTTCATACAAACAACCCACTTTTTGCATTTTGTGGAAACATCAAAGTCTGGTAACACTGAGACGATGAATAATAATCTATTTCTTCTTACAAAGGGGCTTAAGGTACTGTGGGACACCTGACCTGGACATCCCTGGGTCATTTGGTTTCTTTATTTTTTTCAATTCTTTTTTTATTTTTGTATTTTATTATACTTTAAGTCTAGTGGGTACGATGTGCAGAATGCAGGTTTTTAACATATGTGTAACATGTGCCCCTGTTGGGGTTTGGCGGCCACGCCCATTAATTGTTATTTACATTAGGTGATATCTGCCTAATGCCTCAATCCATTCCCCAAAACCCTCCCACAATAGGACCCGGGTGGTGTGATGTCTCCTTCCTGTGTCCAAGGTGATCTTCATTAGTTCGAGTTCCCACTATGAGTGAGAACATGTGGTTGTTTGGTTTTCTATTCTTGGATAGTTGTGCCTGAGAATGAGTGGGTTCCAGGCTTGCATCCATGTCCTACAAAAGCGGACAGGAACTCATCCTTTTTTTTATGGCTGCATAGATTCATGGTGTGGCTTGGGCCACCTTTCTTAATCATCTGTTCACTGAGGAACATTTGGGTTGATTCCAGTCTGATTGTGTTATGTGGAATAGTGCCGCAATAAACGATAGTGTGCCAGTGTCTTTACAGCAGCACTTATAGGATCTTTGGTACTATCCAGTAATGGATGGCGGGATCAATGGCGTATTTCTAGTTCTAGGATCCTTGAGGAATTCCGCCACTACTGTTTTATCCACAATATTTGAACAGTTTACAGTCCCACCAACAGTGTAAAGTGTATGCTGATTGAATTCTTGCTGTAAGCATCGGTGCTCGCTGGGAACTTCCATGGGCGGTGGAACTTGTTGTTTGGCCTGCACAGAGAACAGGGAAGAGCTGGAAGTGTGGCCCCAGAAACAACTCTCCACCAATGATAGATCAGAGAGGATGGACACAGACAATCCTAGCTTCCCGTCTCGTGAATGGACAACCTAAGTGGCATTGCACCTCAGGTTCCCAACAGCAACCCTGTCCATAGGTACGGCTAGCCTCATTGGCAGTGCTTTACTGCCTGTCTTACTTCACCTTTACCCGACGGGTGGATGGTTCATTTACATGTCACTGGGCTAGCCAATGTCCCCAGGACATTGTGGCATGGGATGTTACCCGTGAAGAGTGTTTTAAAGATGAGATTAATGTTTAAATCAGTAGACTTTGAGGTCCAGCAGCATTGACCGGCCCGTATGATGTGGGTCGGGCCTCGGTTCCAATCAGTTGAAGGGCCTCAAGAGAAAACAGATCTTGACGGTCTCCCTGCAGAAAATGGGAGTCTGGCCTCAGACTATCTTTGGATTCAAGCTGCAGTATCAGCTCTTCCTTGTGTCTCCTGCCTGCCTGCCCACCCTGCAGATTTTAGACATGTCGCCCTTCCATAGTCACGTGAGCCAGTTCTTTAAAATGTCTCTCCATGTCTCTCCTCATCTCTTCCTTTCCTTCTCTCTCCCCATCTCTCTCTTTCCATCTCTCTCTCCCTATTTCTCTCTCCCCATCTCTCTCTTTCCATCTCTTTTGATCTCTCTTCGTATCTCTCTTTCCATCTCTCATCTCTAATTCCATCTCTCTCTCCTATCTCTCTCTTTCCATCTTTCTCCCCATCTCTCTCTTTCCATCTCTCTCTCTGTATTTCTCTCTCCCCATCTCTCTCTTTCCATCTCTCTCTCCCTATTTCTCTCTCCCCATCTCTCTCTTTCAATCTCTCTTTTGATCTCTCTCCACATCTCTCTCTTTCCACCTCTCTCTTTTGATCTCTCTCTCCCCATCTCTCTCTCCATCTCTCTTTTTCCACCTCTTTTCCCATCTCTTTCTTTCCATCTCTCTCCCCATGTCTCGCTTTTGATCTCTCTCTCCCGATCTCTCTCCCCATCTCTTTTTCCATCTCTCTCTCTCCATCTCTCTTTCCAACTCTCTCTCCCCATCTCTCTCTTTCTACCTTTCTCCCCATCTCTCTCTTTTGATATCTCTCCCCATCTCTCTTTTTTCATCTCTCTCTCCCCATCTTTCTCTCCATCTCTCTCTCCCCATCTGCCTTTCCACATCTCTTTCTCTCCATCTCTCTCATCTCTTGCTCTCTCTCTCTCTCCTTTCTTCCCACACCCCCACACCCTACACTCTTTAGCTCTTTAATTATGATTCTCTGGAGAAGCCTGAGGAATACACCCACTGTTGTTCCTGGGGATCACCTCCCGAAGAAACTTCTCACACTTCTTTCAGGGTTTGCTTCTGGGTGAACCCAAACTGGGACACAGGGAGAACAGCACTGCCCCACCCTCCCAAATGGCAAAGAAGTCCCTCCCATACTGAATGATAGAAAACCTCCATTTTGGGAAAATGTCTTTTTTTTTTTTTTTATAGGGAAAATCTTCAATATCGCAGTTGGAGGGTAACAAGCCCATTAGGGGAGAGCCCAGTGGGCTTGCTTCCCCACGCCTCACACAATGACATGGCTCTGTGTGAAGGATTCTGAATGCAGCCATCCCGCGTACCTTGTGTATCTTTCTGGATGACGTCATTGCAATGGATGTCCATTGAGTTCATTTGTACGTTCAAGTTGAATGTCTTTCTTTCTTCAGAGCAATTGTCTGTAATCACTCGAGTTTCAATAGCTGGTAAGAAAAGCAAGGGGCAGGCTTAGTGATATGGTAAGAAGCTTTAAAAGTATGCATAGGAACGGGACACGGTGGTGCATGCCTGTAATCCCAACTACTCAAGAGGCTGAGGCAGAAGGATTGCTTGAGCCCAGGAATTCAAGCCCAGCCAACACAGTGAGATGCTGCCTCTAAAAAAAATGTTCATAGCAACATAAATGGCTCACATTTACTGAATGTCTAGGATGTGTCGGGCACTGAGCTAAGAGCCTTACACATGTCACCTTATAATAACCTATAACCTCACGAGGGACCATTCTATAGATGAGGAAACTGAAGTCAGAAGTTAGGTAAGACTCTAACTCCTGAAACCAAGTTCTTAACTAACAGCTCCTAGCATATACCTTTGAAGAAGCAGTTCTATTTCTAGGAGTTTTTTCTCAGAAAGCGATTGTGGACGGAGGGCAGATTTAGCTATAAGAAAGTTCATAGCAGCTTCAATGACAATGGTGGAAAATGGAGGATTATCTAGATGTTCAACAAGAAGCAATTGATGAAATAAGTGATGACATGGGCTGGGCACAGTGGCTCACACTTGTAATCCCAGCACTTTGGGAGGTCATAGTAGGTGGATTGCTTGAGGCCAGGAGTTCAAGACCAGCCTTGCCAACATGGTGAAACCCCATCTCTACTAAAAATACAAAAACTGGCTATAGGGTGTGGTGGCATGTACCTGTAACCTCAGCTACTTGGGAGGCTGAGGCACGAGAATAGTTTGAACCGGGAGGCAGAGGTTGTAGTGAGCTGAGATCGTGCCACTGCACTCCAGCCTGGGTGATAGAGTGAGACTCTGTCTCAAAAATAAGTAAGTAAGTAAGTAAATAAATAAATAAGTGATGACATATCCCTATGGTGAGGAACCAGGCTTCAAAGAAAAATAAAGTCACAAATGAATTGCAATCAAGAAAAATTCATGAGAAAAAAGGTAACCATGTGAGTGATGGATGTGTTAGCTAATTTGATTGTGGTTATCATTCCACAATATATATCAAGTCATCCTATTGCACACCTTAAATATATACAATTTTATTTATCAATTACACCTTAATAAAGCTAAAAAGTTAAGCTCTTGAAAATATGTATCTTAAAAGCAGACAGCCCAAGACTGGCTGTGTGTTGGAAATTGTTGAATTGGGTGATGGGTACATCCGGGATTTTATTCTCCTATCTCCTTTTGTGTGTATTAAAAGGTTAAAAAAAAAAAAAAAGAAGCAAGCAACAAAATAGCACATCAAGAATGACACTATTTTATGGCTAGGTGCAGTGGCTCATACCTGAATTCCCAGCACTTTGGGAGGCTCAGACTGATTGATTGCTTGAGGTCAGGAGTTCGAAACCAGCCTGGCCAACGTGGTGAAACCCCATTCTACTAATATACAAAAATTAGCTGGGCATGGTGGCAGGTACCTGTAATCCCTGCTACTAGGGAGGCTGAGGCAGGAGAATTGCTTGAACCCAGGAGGCGGAGGTTTCAGTGACCTAGATCGTGCCACTGCACTCCAGCCTGGGCAATAGAGCGAGACTTCATCTCAAAACAAACAAACAAACAAACAAAAAAGAATGACACTATTTTAACATTCTAGAAACTATTACTGGCTTGTCTAATATTGACTCTCAGTTTTTGAACAGTTTACAAGTATTTAATTATGTATTAATGTTTTTGGCCTATTGTTTCATTCATTTAGTATGTTTTAATGAATAGAAATTCTTGAGCTCAGTATAAGTGAATTTATTGTTATTATTATCATTATTAGTGAGATGGAGTCTTGCTATTTTGCCCAGGCCGGAGTGCAGTGGCACGCTCTCAGCTAACTGCAACCTCTGTCCCCCGGGTTCAAGCAATTCTCCTGCCTCAGCCTCATGACTAACTGGGATTACAGGCATGCACCACTATGAGTGGCTAATTTTTTTGTTTTTTTTTAGTGGAAACAGGGTTTCACCATGTTGGCCAGGCTGGTCTCAAACCCCTCACCTCAGATCATCCATCTGCCTCAGCCTTCCAAAGTGCTAAGATTACAGGCATGAGGCACTGTGCCTGGCCGAATTTATTATTATTATTATTATTTTTATTTTCTGAGACGGAGTCTCGCTCTGTCACCCAGTCTGGAGTGTAGTGGTGCAATCTTGGCTCACTGCAACCTCTGCCTCCGAGGTTCAAATGATTCTCCTGACTCAGCCTCCCGAGTAGTTGAGATTACAGGTGTGCACCACCACACCTGGCTAATTTTTGTATTTTTAGTAGAGACAGATTTTTGCCATGTTGGCCAGGCTGATCTTGAACTCCTGACCTCAGGTGATCTGCCCACCTCGGCCTCCAAAAGTGCTAGGATTACAGGCGTGATGAGGCACCTCACCCTGCTCACAATGTTAATTTCATCATCCATTATATTATCGCTTGTTACTCTATGTTATTTTTATAAAAACTTAATTTGACTTATTTTTATATTATTTAATATTTTCCAGATTAAACTATGTGTTTCACATAAAAAAGAATGACACTATTTTAGTAATATTTCATAATACTAACGAGTGGAAAGATAGAATAATCATAATTATAGCAATTACTACTGTAGCTTTTTTTCTTTTTTAAAAGTTTGAGTCATTTAGCTTCTGAGGTATCCTAGTCCTAAGTGCATTACATGCACTTTTATTATCTCTATTAAATTTTTTTTTCGAGGCAGGCTCTCACTCTGTTGTCCAGGCTGGAGTGCAGTGGTGCAATCTCAGCTCACTGCAGCCTCAAACTCCTGAGCTCAAGCGATCCTCCCACCTCAGCCTCCCAAGTAGCTGGGACCATATTTGCGCACCACTATGTCCAGTTAATATTATCCCCATTTTATTGACAGGAGAATGAAGCCCAATGAAGTGAGGGCATTGGTCTCAGATCAAACAATTAGGACGTGGCAAAATCAGGAGAGATGAGATTTATTTGTATTCTGGAAAATGGTTTAATTTTGAACCAAAGTATCCAGATTCCAGTTTTCCAAGAAGAATAGGCACTTTTTCAAAATCTGCTTTTTTTTTTTTTTTTTTTTTTTTTTTTTAGGTAGAGTCTTGCTCTGTCACCCAGGCTGGAGTGCAGTGGTGTGATCTAGGCTCAGTGCAACCTCTGCCTCCCGGGTTCAAGTGATTCTCCCACCTCAGCCTCCAGAGTAGCTGGGATAACAGTTGCAAGCCACCATGCCCGGCTAATTTTTGTATTTTTAGTAAAGATAAGGTTTCACCATGTTGCCCAGGCTGATCTCAAACTACTGGCCTCAAGTGATCCACCCACCTTGGCCTCTCAAAATGCTGGGATTATAGGTGTGAGCCACCCTGCCCAGCCCAAAACTTTTTTTTTTTTTTTTTAAATGAGACAGGTTCTTGTTCTGTCATCTAGGTTGGAGTAGCAATGGCATGATCATAGTTCACTGCAGCCTCAAACTCCTAGGTTCAAGCCGTCCTCTCCCTCAGCCTCCCGAGCAGCTGAGAGTGCATGTACAAGCCACTGCATCTGGCAAATTTTTAAATTTTTTTAAAAGGATGGGGTCTCGCTATGCTGCCCAGGCTGGTCTTGAGCTCCTGGGCTCAAGTAATTCTCCCACCTTAGCCTCCCAAAGTGCTGGGAATACAGGCGTGAGCCATCATGCCTGGTCCTCAAACTACATTTAAGTGAAAATTCCAGACCTGGGATTGGAAACTATTGGCAATCTTCTGAATAAACAACTTTATTAGGAATAATTGATGTCTAACCAGCTGCACATATTAAAGTGTACAATCTGGTGAGTTTTGTTTCATACACCTCTGAAACCAACACCACAATCAAGGCAGGACGATTTCCACCACCCCTAATAGTTTCCCCAGATTTTCTCATGCCCCTGCCACCCCTCCTTCCTGCCCCTTGCTGTCACTCTAGATAAGTTTGCGTTTTCTAGAATTTATATGCATTTATGTAATTTACATAAATGGACTCATGTGGTCTATTCAATTGTTTTTTTTCTAATTGCCTAACCCAGATCCCAGCTGCTAACCAGTCCCCAGTGTGTATCAGGCCTCATTATTGTCTTACCCACACTACTGTTTTGTATTTTGTGGACTTTTTGTTCTGGAGCTTTCAAGGCAGTTTCTAGAACTTTCGATTCCACATCCCGGAGAATAGTGGTAGCTGTGGATGAGATTTCTTGCCTCCCTTCTGTTCTCCATAAAGTCTGATTGGTGAGAAGTGACTCAAATGTGTCCACAATCTTTTGCAGCTTTGAAGACATAAAGAATTTTCATTTTTAAAAAATGTAATCTGGTAAGTCCCATATCCAAAAGAGCAGTAGAAAGGATGAGAAAGCAGGCTCTGGAGCTGGAGAAACCACGTTCAAATCCTGGCACTTCACCATGTCCCAGCTGTGTGACCTGGGGCAAGTCACTCAATCTCTCTGTGCCCCAGGACAGGAAAAGGAAATCCTAGGGTTTTCTGGAGAATTAAATGAGTTAACAGATGCTATGCTTTTAGGACAGTGTCTGTACTTGGCAAAAGCTATGTAAAGGTGAGTCATTATTATTATTTTTGAGACAGAGTCTTGCTCTGCCGCCCAGGCTGGAGCGCAGTGGTGGGATCTTGGCTCACTGCAGCCTCCAGCTCCTGGGTTCAAGCGATTTTCACGCCTCAGCCTCTTGAGTAGCTGGGACTACAAGTGCAGGCCGCCATGCTTGACTAATTTTTTTAATTTTTTTTTTTTGTATAGACAGGGTCTTGCTATGTTGCCCAGGCTGGTCTGGAGCTCCTGGGCTCAAACGATTCTCCTGCCTTGGCCTTCCAAAGTGATGGGATTATAGGAGTGAGCCACCGTGCCCGGTTGGGTTAGTTATTATTAACATTTTTTGCCAACAAGGTAGTGATAAGTTTGTTAGAAATAGACCAGTCGTTCTCGATTGTGGGGTGATTCTTTTTTTTTGAGACGGAGTCTCCCTCTGTCGCCCAGACTGGAGTGCCGTGGTGCGATCTTGGCTCACTGCAAGCTCTGCCTCCCGGGTTCACGCCATTCTCCTGCCTCAGCCTCCCGAGTAGCTGGGACTACAGGCACCCACCACCACGCCCGGCTAATTTTTTTTGTATTTTTAGTAGAGACGGGGTTTAACCATGTTAGCCAGGATGGTCTGGATCTCCTGACCTTGTGATCCTCCCGCCTCAGCCTCCTGAAGTGCTGAGATTACAAGTGTGAGCCACCGCGCCTGGCCTGGGGGGCGATTCTTCTACTCCCTCCACAGGGCACATGTGGCGATGTCTGGAGACATTTTTGGTTGTCACTGTCACAACAAGGGAGTGGTTGCCACTACTGAAGCAGTGTCATTGTTTGGGGGCAAATACCCGGAGTTTGTCATCTTGCGCCAAGATTAAGGACATGGACACTCATGAGGAGTAAGTTTAGGAGTGGAGGTTTAATAGGCAAAAGAAAGAGAAAAGAGGACCGAGAGCGGTGGCTCATGCCTGAAATTCCAGAATTTTGGGAGGCTGAGGTGGGGGTGGATCACCTGAGGTCAGGAGTTCAAGACCAACCTGACCAACATGGTGAAACCCCGTCTCTACTGAAAATACAAAATTAGCGAGAGGTGGTGGCACATGCCTCTAATCCCAGCTACTTGGGATGCTGAGGCAGGAGAGTGGTTTGAATCTGGGAGGCGGAGGAGGCAGAGGTTGTAGTGAGCCAAGATGGCGTCACTGCACTCTAGACTGGGCGACAGAGCGAGAGTCTATCTCAAAAAAAAAAAAAAAAAAAACAAAAAAGAAAGAAAGTAGAACAGCTCCCTCCCTTGCGAGAAAGAGGGATGCCCGAAAGGAAAATCCCGCTCACCGACTAGATTTTACAGTCAGGCGCTAGATTTTATAGTCAGGCTGAGGAGGCGGTGTCTGAATTACGTAGGGCCCACAGATTGGTTGGGCCAGGTGTGACATTTACATACTGCTCGGGGAAGGCCGGTTGCCCTACCATCTTGTCTGCTCCTTACTGTACACATGACTGGCAAAGAGAAGGGAAGATGGAGCTGCCATTTTGATCATGTCTAGTCTCAAGTAGCTTTTTCGTATTGGCACAGCTGCTGGCATTGACCCATAAGCTTCCAGCTTGCTTGTCTATGTCTGCAGCTTGATTTTACAGGCTGCTCTTTGTTGGAAAATAAAATGATTCACTTTGGGAGGCCGAGGCGGGTGAATCACGAGGTCAGAAGATCGAGACCATCCTGGCTAACATGGTAAAACCCCGTCTTTACTAAAAATACCAAGAATTAGCCGGGCGTGGTGGCGGGCACCTGTAGTCCCAGCTACTTGGGAGGCTGAGGCAGGAGAATGGCGTGAACCCGGGAGGTGGAACTTGAAGTGAGCTGAGAGTGAGTGCCACTGCACTCCAACCTGGGAGACAGAGCAAGACTCCGTCTTAAAAAAAAAAGAAAAAGAAAAGAAAAGAAAATGATTTTGGAGCTGCTCTTCATTAAAAGGAAAACCTCACTGAGGACTTCTTTACCCTCACTATCTGCCTAAGTAATTTCTTTTTAACTCCTATATCACTATTTATTTATCTATTTTTGAGATGGAGTCTTGTTCTGTCACCCAGGGTGGAGTGCAGTGGCGTGATCTCGGCTCACTGCAACCTCCGCCTCCTGGATTCAAGTGATTCTCCTGCTTCAGCCTCCTGAGTAGCTGGGATTACAGGCATGCACCCCCATACCCAGCTAATTTTTGTATTTTTTGTACACATGGGAGTTTCATCATGTTGGCCAGGCTGGTCTTGAACTCCTGACCTCAGGTGATTCACCCACCTTGGCCTCCCAAAGTGCTGGGATTACAGGTGTGAGCCACCGTGCCCGGCCTGATTACTTAATTCTTTATTTGTTCATTACTTCAATGACAATTCCTTGAACTCCTAATTTGGGGTTGGTCTTCTTTCCTTCCTCAAGAAGCTCACAGTCTAGAGATTGATTACATGATGTAGTTACCTATTTATATAAATGCTGTCAGTTGGCCAGAGACAATAATGGATACCATTGGATACTTGGATCTTTTTTTTGCAGCAGTGTGGAAGGCCTTAATGTACTCTGTCTTGGTCTGTCTTTCTTGGTCTGGGATAGATTCCTGTCTTTAGATGGCAGCACACACATACACACACACACATTCACACACTGTCATATGTAGGTACCTACGCGCACACTGTGTGTGTCTATACCTATATCTATAAGTAGATATAGATATAGACCCCTCTTGGTATATGCACGGTATTGGTTCCAGGACCATCCGTATATGCTCAAATCCAATCCGTGCATACTCAAGTCCCATAGGGTCCTTTGGAACTCGCTCATGAAAAGTCAGTCCTTCCTCTTTGTGGGTTTTGCATCCTGACTCTCTCTCTCTCTCTCTCTCTATATATATATATATTTATTTATTTTTTTTGAGACAGAGTCTTGCTCTGTCACCCAGCCTGGAGTGCAGTGGCAGCATCTCCTCTCACTCTCACTGCAACCTCCGCCTCCTGGATTCAAGTGATTCTCCTCCCTTAGCCTCCGGGGTTGCTGAGATTGCAGGCATGTGCCACCATACCTGGCTAATTTTTGTATTTTTAATTAGAGATGAGGTTTCACCATGTTGGCCAGGCTGGTCTCGAACTCCTGACTTCAAGTGATCCACCTGCCTCGGCCTCCCAAAGTGCTGGGATTACAGGCTTGAGCCGCCGTGCCCAACCTGGCAGTGCTGTATTTTTGATTCACATTTGGTTGAAAAATGTCCTTGTGTAAATGGATCCCCGCAGTTCAAATGTGTGCTGTTCAACTGTATATATAGTGATATATCTATAGTGAGCTGGATAATGATACACATATAGTGGTATACCTAATGGTATATCTATATCTATCTATAGGTATATGTATATATACCACAGATATATATATAATATATAATTATATATAATATATAAATATGTACTATTGTGTAGTCATATGATATATGGTAATCATATATATTTACATATAATATGTACTTTATCCTGAATAATATTTTTATATAATATATATTTTGTCCTAAATCCATCCCCATTTGCTCACTTTGGGCTTTGTAAATATTTGTTACTGATGTTTGTTACCTGGGTAGGGTCCGGGGATCAGCCTGCACTCACCTCTTTCTTGCCTTGGGTTGTCTTTGAGGAGTTCGTGTCTGCAAAAGACATCATGATGGAGTTACTATTGGAACTGAGAGTGACCAGGCAGAGGGGTGGGCAGGTGGGGTAAGTAATGGGGTAGGCAACTTTGCACCTAGAAGGTGAAAGCCTGAACTCAGTCTTTATCTGTTGTTTATTTTTTTAAAAATTTTAAAATTTTTAATTAAAAAAAATTTATTTTTATTTTTATTTTTATTTTCATTTTGAGACAGAGTCTCACTCTGTTGCCCAGGCTGGAGTGCAATGGTGCAACCTTGGTTCACTGCAACCTTCACCTCCTGGGTTCAAGTGATGCTCATGCCTCAGCCTCCTGAGTAGCTGGGATTACAGGCATGCACCTGCAGGCCCGGCTAATTTTTGTATTTTTAGTAGAGAGGGGGTTTCACCATGTTGGCCAGGCTGGTCTCAAACTCCTGACTTCGTGATCCGCCTGCCTCAGCCTCCCAAAGGGCTGGGATTACAGGCATGAGCCATTGCACCCGGCTTTGTTTTTTTTTTAGACAGGGTCTCATTCTGTTGCCCAGGGTGGAGTGCAGTGGCACAATCTTGGCTTGCAATCTTGGCTTGCAATCTCAGCCTCCTGGACTCAGGCAATCCTCTGCCTCAGCCCCCCGAGTAGCTGGGATTATAGGCATGTACCACCACACTCGGCTAATTTTTTTTTTTTTTTCATATTTTTTGTAGAGATGGGGTTTTGCCATGTTGGCCAGTCTGGTCTCAAATTCCTGACCTCAGGCGATCCACCCGCCTTGGCCTCCCAAAATGTGAGGATTACAGGCGTGAGCCACCGCGCCTGGCCTCCAAATTCTTTTATTCCAGCTTGACTGGAAATTAGAACTGAAATAGCCAAGAAAACAGAAAATTAGAAGCCGCCTGTGTTTAAAGTCAGCCTGGATGGGAATGATAACCAAAACAAAAGCATCAATGTCTGGTCATCAGCTGTTAATGAAGACTTTTGTGTTGGTTCCTGTGCTTAGTGAGGGCATCTCTACTTTAGAAATTCGAGGAAGGGTGCACCTGTAGACCCAGCTGCTTGGGAAGCTGAGGCAGGAGGATCACATGAGCCCAGGCGTTTGAGACCAGCCTGGCCAACATGGCAAAACCCTGTCTCTACCAAAAATAAAAAATTAGCTGGGCATGGTGGCGGGTGCCGGTAATCCCAGCTACTCGGGAGGCTGAGGCAGGAGAATCGCTTGAACCTAGGAGGCAAAGGTTGCAGCGAGCCGAAATCCATCACGGCACTCCAGCCTGGGAGACAGAACGAGACTCTCTCTGAAAAAAAAAAAAGAACAAGGAAAGGCTAGCAAATGTTTACATATGTTTTATCATCATGCTGAGGTTAAATCTGTACTTATTCTACGTCTTGGTTTTCAGCTCAGTCTATTTGCTTGAAAGCACAAACAGCTTTGTTTTAGTACTGAACATTTTATTTTGAGAGTTCAAGAACTTTGACTTACAAGTCTGAGTCCAGAATATGTTTGTTATAGGAAACCGTATTCATTGTAGAAAATTGCCCTTTTGAACCAAAGCTACACACTTGATCACTGGGTGGGGATGTGGATTGCTTAGAGCTACCAGCCTTGGTAATAACGAGCCCCAAATGGGCTCAGTCTTTATGAAAGGATGGTGTAGAGCTCTTAACATTAGGAAAACAACCAAAGGCATTTTTCTTTTTTGTAAAATAAGACAAATTTAAGAGATTAACATCAGAACCCAGGTAGAATCACTGTCTGCCTCTACACTGTCAATAGAGGTGCACATTGCTTAGTAAAAGACAGATTTACGGCTAGGCACTGTGGCTTATGCCTATAATCCCAGCACTTTGGGAGGCCAAGGCAGGAGGATTGCTTGAGACCAGGCCTTGGCCTCCCAAAGTACTGGGATTACAGGCGTGAGCCAACCCTCCCGGCCGATGGACATATTTTCTGTCCTGTGGTCTAGGAAGCAGAGAAAGCCAGCCTGCAGTGAAAGAGAAGAAAGGAGTAGACCCAAAGATGATCAGAGACAGGGAATAGGAGATGCACACTAGGGGTGTCGAGTCCCAGTTTTAGTTAATCCGAGAAGCCCAGCTGCATTCCTGTCCTTGCAGGGCATGGCCATGCATCCTTTTCATAAATGCTTCTTTTCTGCCTGTTAGCCTGAGTGAGTTTCTCTTCCTTGCAATTCCAAGAATGTGGTCTCAATCACCACCTTATCACTTCCTCCATCTCCAAACTACAGTTCCCCTTCTCACCCCATTATTTCCCTCAACTTGAACTTCCTTCTTTCCTTCTAGTTCCCTGCAGAACATAAAACCATATCGTGGCCCCACAACAAGTACATATTTTCTGATGTGAGAGTCCATGAAAAATGGGGAAGCACTCCTGTCTGTAAGAAGTCCCAGCACTTTGGGAGGTCGAGGCCGGTGGATCAAAAACATTAGCTCGGAGTCATGGTGCACGTCTATAATTCTCAGCTAGACTGACACAGGAGAATCGCTTGAGCCCAGGAGGCGGAGGTTTCAGCCACTGCACTCCAGCCTGGGCTACAGAGCGAGACTCTGTCTCAAAACAAAACAAGCAAACGAGAAAACAGAGGAAGGAAGGAGGACAAAAATGTTCTTACCCTGACAGGTGTTCTCATTGGAATTACTGAATCGTTCTTCCCCAGACTGGAGTCTATATCCTGGGACACAGCGACAGTAGAAACTTCCTTCGACATTGTGACATGCGGCGTTTGATCCACAATATACACTATAGGGTGGTTCACATTCGTTAATATCTGGAACACAAAGAAGGAATTTTGTCATTCATTCAGCAAAGATTTATTGAGCATCTACTATGTGTCAGGAGTTGCGCTCTTTACCCCAGGGTCTGTCCTGGCTTTCCGAGACAAATCAGTTTAAGTCATGGTTATCTTGGTTTTTTGCCGTCTTCATTGACTTTGGTAGGGTTCTTCAAGAAGCAGACATTGAGAGGAGGATGTAAGTACAAGTACTTTATTTGGGAGGGGATCCCAGGAAACACTGGGAGGGAAGTCGTGAAATGAAACAAGAAACTATCTTTTCTTTCTGAGACACAGTCTCGCTCTGTCATCCAGGCTGGAGTGCAATGGCAGGATCTCGGCTCTCTGCAACCTCTGCCTCCTGAGTTCAAGCGATTCTCCTGTCTCAGCCTCCCGAATAACTGGGATTACAGGCAAGCACCACCATGCCCGGCCGATTTTTGTATTTTTAGCAGAGACAGGGTTTCACTATGTTGGCCAGGCTGGTCTCAAACTCCTGACCTCAGGTGATCCATCTGCCTCGGCCTCCCAAAGTGCTGGGATTACAGGCGTGAGCCACCGTGCCTGGCTGAAACAAGAAACGATCTCAAATGAACAGCCAAGTTTCCAAAACAGCCCCCGTTTTGCCTCCCTTTTGCTCCTGTCTCTGGATGACTGGCAAATGACCCCTGGACAGGTGCAGGGGTCACACCTGTAATCCCAGCACTTTGGGAGGCCGAGGCGGGAGGATTGCTTGAGCTCAGGAGTTTGAGACTAGCCTGGACAACATGGTAATAACCCATCTCTACAAAAAATAAAAAAAAACATTAGCTGGGCGTGGCGGCACGCCTGTAGTCGCAGCTACTTGAGCGGCTTGATTCCAGGAGTTGGAGGCTGCAGTGAGTGGTTTATTTATTTTGATCAGAGAGTCTCCATCTGTCGCCTAGGCTGGAGTGCAGTGGTGCAATCTCGGCTCACTGCAACCTCTGCCTCCCAGATTCAAGCTATTCTCATGCCTCAGCCTCTTGAGTAGCTGAAATTATAGGCGCCCACCACCATGCCCGGCTAAGTTTTGTATTTTTAGTAGAGATGGGGTTTTGCCATTTTGGCCAGGCTGGTCTCGAACTCCTGACCTCAAGTGATCTGCCCGCCTCGGCCTCCCCAAGTGCTGGGATTACAGGCTTGAACCACTGTGTCCAGCCTGTGGTGAGCTTTGATCATGCGACATTAGTCCAGCCTGGGCAACAGAGCAAGACCCTGTCTTTAAAAATAATAAAATAATAATAATAATAATAAAATACTTTACCATTACATGTCTCCAAGGGGAATGTGAATAGTTTCTGCCCAGATCTAGAAATATATCCACTGTTGCAGGTGCAGTGACTGTTATTGACACAGGAAGCATTTGGGGGGCAGTTACAGGAAGCTGCAGGGAGAAGAGAGGCAGGTTAAATGGACTGGGGTCACAAACTCTCCTGTTATAATTAGGCCCTGCCTCTGGATCACCTGAGGTAAGGAGTTCAAGACAAGCCTGGTCAACATGCTAAAACCCCATCTCTACTAAAAATACAAAAAATAGCCAGGTGTGGTGGCTCATGCCTATAATCCTAGCTACTCAGGAGGCTGAGGCAGGAGAATTGCTCGAACTCGTGAGGTGGAGGTTGCAGTGAGCTGAGATTGCACCACTGCACTCCAGCCTGGGTGAGAGAGGGAGACTCCGTTTCAAAACATATATATTTGTTACATAGGTATACGTGTGCCATGTTGGTTTGCTGCACCCATCAACTCGATATTTACATTAGGTATTTCTCCTAATGCTATCCCTCCCCCAGTCCCCCACTCCCCTGACATATTATATAAGTAAATAATAATAATGAGGCCTCGCCTCTGGGCAGGGCCTCTCAAGGCTGAGGAAACCTGTGTCTTTTCCTCTTGTGAGATCTAAGCACATTAAAAAATTAGAGTGTCCAGGCACGGTGGCTCACTCCGCCTGGTGAGAATTTTCACATGGTGAAACCCCGTCTCTACCGAAAAATACAAAATTGGCCAGGTGTGGTGGCAGGTGCCTGTCATCCCAGCACTTTGGGAGGCTGAGGCAGGTGAATCACCTGAAGTCAGGAGTTCAAGACAAGCCTGACCAGCGTGGTGAAACCCCGTCTCTACTAAAAATACAAAATTAGCCAAGTGTAGTGGCTCATGCCTGTAATCCCAACTACTCAGGGGGTTGAGGCAGGAGAATTGCTTGAACACGGGAGGCGGAGGTTTCAGAGAGCCAAGGTCACACCATTGCAATCTCACCGTGGTGAGAAGCATGGTGAGTGGCATGGTGAGCATGCCTGTTAACATCTGTAATTCCAGTGCTTTAGGAGGCCGAGGTAGGAGGATTCCTTGAGGTTGGAGTTGGAGAGCAGCCTGGGTAACATAGCAAGACACTATTGCTATAAAAAGTAATTTAAAAATTAGCCAGGCATAGTGGTATGTGCCTGTAGTCCCAGCTACTCTGGAGGCTGAAGCGGGAGGATTGCTTGAGCCCAGGAGTTTGAGGCTGCAATGAGTCGTGGTCATGTCATTGCACCGCAGCCTGGGTGACAGAGTGAGGCTCTGTCTCTAAAACAAACAAACAAAAAAATTTGAATTTCTAGGGTACCATGGGAGGTAGATTCTGATCATGGTATATGTTAAGGTATTTTTTCTTTAGACTTCATGATTATGAAAATGATAAATTCACAGAATTGAAAAAAAAAATAAGTCTCTTATTACCCCAGATTCTGAGCTGTCTACTGCCTATTGTATACTTTTCAGAAAAATTCCAATCCATAAACACACATATATGCATCCTTTTTCTTTACATTATAGGAACATAATTCACATACTGCTCTGTTTGGTTTTCCTGTAAAATTTTGCCTGAGAATTTTTTCCACAGCTTCACGTGCGGAGAAACCTCATTATTTTAAAAGGCATTGCAGTATTCCATCCTGAGGATGGACAGTGCCAAATATGCTACTGAAGCAAGGGTGTGATTGACTGTGCATGCAAGTCTTTTTTTTTTTTTTTTTTTTTTGGAATCACAGCTCCAAGAAGCTCAGCAGAGGCAGAGCCTGGAATAGAATGATAACGAGAAGGAGAGACACGGAACAATTTGAATGATTCCAAGAAATGCCCCAAGGGCTGTGTGTCAGTTATTATCACTGGTAACAAATACAGAAATGTCTATGACTTGAACAACTTTTGTGAGTATGGAGATCTTAAGACTAAAAATAGGACGCTGTTGCAGCCAATCTCACTACGGCGTGTCTACCCCAAAGAAACGCCTCATTATATCAAATACCACCTGCATATATGTTTACAGTAGCATATTCACATATAGGCAAGTCATGGAGCCAACTAAGTGTCCACTAACAGTGACTCGATAAAGAAAATGCATTATAGCACATGGAATACTTGGCACTATTTGTGTTGTATGTGTTGTGTGTTGATTATTTCATGTGTGATGAGCTGGCGGCCATTATCATGAACTAACTCAGAAGCAGAATAAATAATCAAATTTGTATGTTTCACTTATAGTTTCTTTTTTGTTTTGTGGAGCTAAACACGGGCGACTGAATGAGATGGAGGCACAATAGACTTGGGCTTCGATAATGCCATGACTTGGTTATGGAATAGTGCTGCCATGAGAACATATGAGTGCCCCCCCAGGGGGGGTGTCTTTTTGATATAATGATTACTTTTTTTTTTTTTTGTGAGACAGGGTTTTTTCTGTCACTCAGGGCTGAGTGCCCAGTGGGCGCAATCTTGGCTCCCAGGTTCAATCGATCTCTGCCAGCCTTTACCAAGTAGCGTTGGATTATTAGGTGTTACTACACGCCTGGCTAATTTTGGTATTTTTAGTTAGAGAGGTGGTTTACATGTTGCCAGCGTGTGTTGAACACCT